GCTATGATTAGGACTTCCAATACTATGTTGAATAAAAGTGGTGACGGAAATTCCCTGGAAGTCCAGAGGTTAGAACTCTGTACTTCCACTACAGGGGACACAGGTTCAATACCTGGCTGGGGAACTAAGGTCCCAGAGCCACATGGTGCAGCCAAAAAAAAAAAAGTGTGAGTGAGCATCCTTGTCTTCTTCCTGATCTGAGAAGAAATGGTGAAGTGCTTTTCACCATTGAGTATGATGTTAGCTGTGAACTTTTCATAAGTGGTCTTTATTATGTTGAGGTGTGTTTTCTCTGTACCCAATTTGTTGAGAACTTTTATTGTAAATGAATATTGAATTTTGTGAAAAGTTTTTTGTGCATCTGTTGAGATGAACATATAATTTTTTTTGAACATATAATTTTTATTCATCAGTTTGTTAATGTGATGTATCACATTGATTGATTTGCATATATTGAACTAAACCATCCTTGCATTCCTGGGATAAATTCCACTTGATCATGGTGTATAATCCTTTTTATGTATTGTTGAATTCAGTTTGCTGATATTTTGCTAAGGATTTTTGCATCTGTGTTCATCAGTGATATTGACCTATAATTTTCATTTTGTGTGGTATCTTTGGTTTTAGTATCAAAGTGATACTTGCTTCGTAGAATGAGTTCAGAAGCATCTTTTCTTGTGCAATATTTGGAATAGTTTGAAAAGGATAGGTATTAACTCTTTTCTAAATGTTTGTTAGAATTCATCTGGGAAGCCATCTGATCTTGGACTTTTTTTAAAAAATAATATTATACTAAACATCAATAGGCTTGGAAACAAAACTGTAAAACAACAGACACCACACACACAATTATTTGCTACTGATACATGGTTGACCAGTGTCCTACCTAATCAATAGGTTTTTGTTTTTTTGGGTTTTGTTGGGTCTTCGCTGCTGTGTGGGCTTTTCTCCAGTTGTGGAGAGCAAGTTGCAGTGTGCTGGCTTCTCATTGGAGTGGCTTTTCTCGTGAAGCACAGGCTCTATGGTGCTTGGGCTTCAATAATTATGTCATGTAGGCTCAGTAGTTGTGTCTCCCAGGCTCTACGGCTTAGGCTCAATAGTTGAGGCACATGGGCATAGCTGCTCTGTGACATGTGGGATCTTCCTGGATCAAGGACAGAACCTGTGTCTCCTTCATTTGCAGGCAGATTCTTGACCACTGAGCTACCAGGGAGCCTGATCTTGGACTTTTATTTGTTGGGAGTTTTTTAAGTTACTGATTCAGTTTCATTACAGGTAATTGATCTGTTCATATTTTCTTTTTTTTCCTGGTTCAGTCTTGAGAAATTATACATTTCTAGAAATTTGTCCATTTCTTCAAAGGTTGTCCGTCTTATTGAAGTATAATTGTTGGTGTCAGTCACTTCAGTCGTGGCCAACTGTTTGTGACCCTATGGACTACAGCCTATCAATCTCTGTCCATGGAATTCTCCAGGCAAGAATACTGGAGTGGGTTGCCATTTCCTCCTCCAGGGGATATTCCTGACCCAGGGATTGAACTTGCCTCTCTTGTGTCTCCTGCATGGGCAGGTGGGTTCTTTACCACTAGTGCCACCTCAGAAGCATAATTGTTGGTGGTACTCTCTTATGATCCTTGTATTTCTGTAGTGATAGTTGTACCTTTTTCATTTTTATTTTTATTGATTTGGGCCCACTTTCTTTTTTTCTTGATGAGTCTGGCTAAAGATTTATCAATTTTGTTGTATCTTCTCAAAGAACTAGCTCTTAGTTTCATTGATTTTTTTCCCCCCGATATTCTTAACTAGCTTTCCCATAACATGTTTTTGTGGGGTTTTTTTTTTTCCTTTAATAAACTCTAAAGAGACAATGGAAAGAAAGTCTTAGGATCATTAACAAAATCTTTGGAATTTGCTTTTGTGGTGATGGTGGTAGAGGGAAGCAAAAAGAGAAATGAGCTTTTAGGAAGATAATTTTTTGGTTAAAAAAAATTAAAATCTGTTGATGGTTCCTAAAGATTACTGGGAAACAAGCATTTCTTCACTATTGTACTCTTTAATCTCTCAGTTTAATGAACATCCAGGGTTTTTAGTTGGCTAAGATTCAGGAAATGAATATACTACTGAGTATGCTTGGGAATAGTCAGTTAAAATATTTACATATTTGTTCTCTCACTTCTAAAATCTATATAAAGATTGTCATTTCCTGTTTCAAATGCTTGAAACAAGATGTGGTAGGTGGTTGTTATTATTTGGAAATTTCAAGACTAAAACCTGAAATCATCTATTTGCAGAAATCTAGGATTATAGAATGTATTTCCCAAATACATATACTTGTTAGTGCTTTGCTTTCTTATTTTGACAATTTTATAGTAAGATCACTACATTGACCAAAAGAGGATAAGCTGTTTGTTTATGGAAGTTTCTAGTGAAATGTATATTTAATACATATATTCATTTTACTTTGGCTCTCTGGGTCTTTGTTGCTGTGCAGGGGCATCCTCTAGTTGTGACACACCGGCTTCTCACGTGGTGGCTTGTCTTACTGCGGAGCACAGGCTCTGGAGTGTGTCGGCTTCAGGAGCTGTGGCTTGCAGGCTCTGGAGCACAGGCTCAATAGTTGTGGCTCACAGCATATGGGATCTTTCCAGACCAGGGATTAAACCCATGTCCCTTGCATTGCAGGTAGACTCTTCACCACTGGACCACCAGGGAAGCCCTCTAGTGAATGTATTTCTGTACTGGATTTGTCTGGAATAAAAGAATGTATGGGTCTTATTTTATTCAAAAAGCATTGTTAGGTGTAAATGGGGCTTTCAGATTGGTCTGACAATTATTCAGAATGTAAATATTCACAATGTATGTAAACTACTAGTTTAAATATCAGACCTTCAAAGTGGTACTGAAACACCTTGATGAAATATTATCTAAAAGCAGTTAAAATCATCTAAAGCAGCATTCAGCATACTTTTCCTGTAAAGGTGCATGTGTGCTAAGTTGCTTCAGTTGTGTTTAACTTCTGTGAGACCCTATGGACTGTAGCTTGGCAGGCTCCTTTGTCCATGGGATTCTCCAGCAAGAATACTGGAGTGGGTTGCCATGCCCTCCTCCAGGGGATTTTCCTGACTGGGATCAGACCCACATCTCTTATATCTCCTGTATTGGCAGGCCAGTTCTCTACCACTAGTGCTACCTGGAAAGCCCTCCTGTAAAGGACCAAATAGTAAATATTTTAGGCTTTATGGGCTGCACCTGGTCTCTGCTGCAAAGATTCAACTTTGCTATTATAGTCAAAGCAGCCAAAGACAATACATAAACAAATGAGAGTGACACTCAATAAAACTTTATTTAGAAAAGCAGGAGACTTTAACTTGCCAATGAGTTTCAATTTAAAAAATAATACTATTTATGGGAACTCTCAGTACTTTCTGCTCAACTTTTCTGTAAACCTAAAACTGTACCAAAAAAAGTATATTACAATTTCTGGGACTTCCCTGGCAGTCCAGTGGTTAAGACTCTGCCCTTCCACTATAGGGGGTATTGATTCAATCCCTGGTCAGAGAACTAAGATCCCACATGCCACATGGTGCAGCCAAAAGAAAAAATCTATTACAGTTTTTCTAAATGTCTTAGAAAATAAAAATTATTTAGAATCAAGTAATGATCAAAACCTCCATGACATCTCTTGGTTTTCACTGAACGATAAAACCACTGGATGACTAACTCATCCATTCTAGCTGTCAGGTATGCTTTCAGAGGGTCTAAAACTGTTCTGTTTTACAAGGATCTTTTTTAGGACTTATTTATTCATTGATTAAAGTGAACAAAGAGGTAGAGATGTCACATCCTGTTACTACATTTGGTAACATAAATACTCAGAGCACCTTGTTCAACACTTGTTGGAGGAATTGCTGATTTAAATGATTTCTTTGGTTGAACAGAAAATAATTCTTAAAATATTAATTCTTGAAGATTTTTGAATTATGCTGCTATTCTATCATTGATATGTTAATTACTTTGAGTTTTCATCCTATAGTATTTATTTTTCTTCTATGAATATACCAAGGAGTATCCTTTTAAATAAATCAGCTAAAATATTTACAATCATTGGCTGTAATATCTGTGTAACTCAGCTGATAATTCATTTGAAAAATTTAGACTATGTTGCAGCTGAATTAACTTCTGAGACTTAAATGTGACTGTAACATATATATCTACTTCTAAACTTTTTATTGTGACATGTAGCACAGAAAATACATAAAACAGAGATGTCCAGTTTAACAGGTTAATTATAAAGCAAACAGTGGAACTACCATGCAAGTCAAGATACAAAGCATTGCCAACACCCCAGAGGCCTCTTGTATGTCTCGTTCTAACTATAATCCCTTCCCTTATTCCTAGGGTTAACTACAGTCCTGATTTTTATAGTATCCATTTTCTTTTTTTAGTACATGTGCAGCTCTAAACAGTGTAGTTTATTTTGCCTGTTTTTTAAAAATTTTACAGGTGGACTCATATAGTGTGAATACTTCAGTTTATGACCAATCCTTTATACTGTATTCATTTTAGCTATTCAGCAACAACAAAAAATGATCAAGGTAGACTGAAGTGATGGGATATTGATCTGTGTTCAGAAAAACTGCTTCATAGGTGATCTGTCAAAACATGTTTGGTGCCACTTCCTGCCCTTTAATCACATTTTCTGTCACACAGGACACTGTTGCATGTGCCTAATGACAATCAGGATGGGTGATGAAAGGCATAGCACTTGTTTTTGAAAACAGATTTCTCAGTGATTCTGTGAGATCTTGAATTTTATGGTGATAGGATTGTGTTAAACTAATCTTAATACAACAAAGCTATTGTTGTATTAAAGATTAAAGTGAGTATGGTATACATATAGTAGATACATATAATATATATACATACTTGTGTTTCTGACTGAAGAAACACTTTAATTACCTAAAACATTTGATTTTATAGAAAAAATACTTTGTTTTTCAGGTGAAACTTCCACCGATGATGGAAATCATAACTGCTGAACAGCTGATGGAATATTTAGGTTAGTGTTGAAAGTGAATGATTTTTATATCTCTTTCAAGATAAAACAAAGTTTTCAAAGCTATTATATTACCAAATTTCACCTTTTTGAAGCTGTTTTTAATCTCTTAACTAAATAATTTTACTAGTGTGTTTCTGTTCTTGGATGTTACAGACTTCTTTCTGACCAGCATTAAAATTCTTTAGTGTAAATAAAGAGACTAGTGACATCTAGAAAACAACAAGATATATATTAATTCCAATAAATTACAGAATGGGAAATGGCATAGAAACTCTAACACTGCATGTAGAGAGTGTTTAAAAATATTGAATAGACTTGAATTAAAACCCAGAAAGTGATTTAGAGCAGTGCTACCCAAAATATGGTTCACGAACCTATGCCAGTCAATAAAATGTTAGACCTGTCTGCAGTGAAATAGAGGCTTGTACTAGAGTATAAAACATTTACTTTAGGAAGCACACTGTTTAGTCAGTCTGAAATATTTTTGTAGCCAGTTTTTCTTGATGAAGGAAGCAGCATATTGAGTTGCATTCTTATGCAAGCTTTCTATTTCAAAACAGGCCATAATACACAGTTTGCAGATCAGCTGCAGTCAGAACTTGTTTACAGAGCAGGTAGTTGTTTATCACACTGAGGTCTTTCACAACTTAACAAGTAAGAATTTATATATTTGCACTGTTACCAAATGAGAAATCTTAATCCATATTCTTATTTTTAGTAATTAAATTGCTATTAAAAAGATCTTATTAGCTGATTAGTTTGTCTATGCTGTTCCAGACAACTATCTAACTGATTTTTTTTGTGAGATGTAAGTTTAGTGAAATAATTGAGATTACAGCTTTTGGAAGACCTTTTTACTTATATAACTAATATAATTTAATCCTATTCATTGGCTAGGAACCTCATCATTAAGTGTAGATTACTTCAATATCTAGATATCTGAAAATAGAATTTCTGTTTTTTACCTCTTTTACTCTAGCTTGGTGATTCTTAAACTTTGTGATTTCTAAATTGTATTTCATAGGAAAAGGCTGAAATATGCTTAGTGGTTTTGAGGAACAGCCAGAAGGACTACCAAGGACTGCAGAGGGGAAGTGTCAGGAGATGAGATTAGAGATAATGGAATCCTATCATATAGAATATCCTAGGCTTTTATAGCAACTTTGACTTTTGCTGTGGGTGATCTGAGAAGCCATTAAAGGATTTTGAACAGAGAACTGACATGATCTGACTTTGAGTTTAACAAGAATTCTCTGGCTTCAAACAGGGTAATAGAAATGAGATTATAAAATATGGTCAGATTCTGAGTATAGAGCTGACAGAATTTGCTGATTAGTTGAATGTGGAGTGAGAGTAAAGTCAAGAGTTACCCAGTGATTTTTGGCTTGAACAACTGGAAGGATGGCATTAACATCAACTGAAACAGGAACAAGTGGAAGGAACATGTTTATGGAAGAATATCAGGATTTTGGTTTGAAAAGTTTATTGACTTTCAAGTGGAGATATCAGGGAGGCGGTGGGATATATAAATCTAGAGCCTAGAGGATAGGTCTAGATCAGCACTGTACAGTGAACCTTTGTGTGTTGATGGAAATGTTCTTTATCTGTGCTGTCCAGTTTCATAGCCACTAACCACATATGGCTCTTGATCTCTTAAAATGTAGTGAATATTCAGCTACGTTTTAAATTGTAGGAAAGTTGAATGTTTAATTTTAGTTTAAATTAATATAGCCACATGTCATTACTGGCTGTTGTGTTGGACAGTGAATGTCTAGCCTGTAAATACAAATTTGGGAACAGTAACTATCATATAAAGGATCATTAGACTGAGTCACAAATAATATGAATGTAGACAAAGACGACATCAGTGGACTGAATCTGGGACATGCCAGTGATTAGAAGCTGGAGAAGAGGAAGAATAGATAGAAACTCAGCTATGTAGAAGAAAAACTGGAGACTGATTTCCTAGAATCTAAATGAAGAGTTTCAGTAAAAAATGAGAGACTGTCTGAGTCAAATGTTGCTAATAGGCTTAGCAGGATGAAGACTAAAAATTAACCACTGATTGAAGCCATACAGAGGTAATTGGTAACTTCAGTAAGTCCACAGGATGAAAACCTGACTGGAGTAGGCACAAGAGAAAATCAGAAGTCCTAAGACATAACCAATAAGAATGAAACATAATGTAGCCACTGTGGAAAACAGTTTGTTACTCGATGGGCATGAGTTTGAGTAAACTCCAGGAGTTTGTGATGGACAGGGAGGCCTGGAGTGCTACGATTCATGGGGTCGCAAAGAGTCCGACACGACTGAGCGACTGAACTGAACTGAACTGAGAAAAGCTAATACAGAATTGCCATATAACCCTGCAGCTTCCCCCAAGAGGAGTAAAGACATATGTCCATACAAAAACCTGTATAGGAATGTTCATAGCAGCATTATTCATATATGCCAAAAAATTGGAAACAATCCAGATAGTCATCAACTGATGAATAAACCAACTGTGGTATATCCATACAATGAAACATTATTCAGCCATAAAAGGAAATGTACTGATGTATTCTATAATATAAATAAGCCTTAAAGATGTTGTGCTAAGTCAAAGAAGCCAAGTCATAAAAGACCACTTATTGTGTGATTCCATTTATATGAAATGTTCAGAATAGGCAAATTTAGAGACAGAAGGTAGGATTTGTGGTTGCTTAGGACTGGGGAATATAGGGAGGGGAAATAGAGACTGACTGCTAAAGGGTATCGAACTTCTTTTGGGGGGGACCAAAGTGTTCCAAAATTAGATCATGATGATAATTTCACAGTCCTGTTAATATAGTTCAAAAACATTGAACTGTGCACATTACATGGGTTAATTGTATGGTATGTGAGTTATGTTTCAGTAAAGCGGGTTTTAACAAGAGAAAATTGGAGGAAAGGAATTGAAAAATATACTTTAGATAAATGAAGACTTAGTCTTAGGTAGTACAGATAGTTCATCCTTAGCAATAGAAGGGAAGATAGACTGTTAAAAATAGGTGCAGGTTGGACTTCCTTAGAAGTTTAGTGGTTAAGAATATGCCTGCCAGTGCAGGGGACATGGGTTTGTTCCATGGTCTGGGAGGATACCACATGCCACAGAGCATGTGTGCCACAACTACTGACCTTCCTACACCACAGCTACTGAAGCCTGCATGCTCTAGGGCCTGTGCTCTACAGCAAGAAAAGCCATCACAATGAGAAGCCCACACACTGCAGCTGAAGAGTAGCCCTCTCTTACTGCAACTAAAGAAAGCCCACAGGCAGCAACAAAGACTCAGTGCAGCCAAAAATAAATAAATACAAAAATTTTTTAAAAGATAGATGGGTAGATGTGGGTGTGGTAGCTTGTAGAAGGTCTTTTAAGTACTTTTATTTTCTCAATAAACGGGAAATCAGGTCATCAGCTGAGGGTGAGAATGAAGGAGGAGTTATTGAAGATGAGAAGGAAGGTATAAAATAGTTGCTTAGACAAGTGGGAGAGTGAATGAGGAGATGCAATATGATTCCTGGGTTTTACCCTGGGGTTAGTGAGACCAGCCAGCATTGGTGGTATGATTTCTGTAGTCACATTCTGCTGCATGAGTATAGGCTTAAATAGTGGAAAAGCAGGGTTTAACCAGAGCTGGGTTTTTGCCAAGTGAGTATGTTGAAGAAAGAGTCTAGGGAATTGAAGTTACGTGTAGATATACCTGTGATATAATTATAAAAATGAGCCATAATATTTAAGTTGCACAAAGAGGAGATGTGGATATAAATACATTGAAGAAAAATGTGACAGGATTTAGTGGATTGTAGGCTCTAATATAGTCAAAGAATTTTTGGAACCTGGTAGTAACAAAATTGTATGATCATAGGGAATGAGTTTCTGATATAAGGTGGAATATATGATTTTTGTTGGAAAAGAGGTCAAGGAACAGAAAGGCCAAGTATTAGGTCGGTCATCTCTATGAGCATTAAAATTATCAAAATTATGGCAGGATTTGTATCATAGAGAGATAGTGAGCTAGGAATGAGGGAGATTGACCTAAAAGTTCGTAGAGAACTATAACCAGGTGGGTGAATAATGGGTAGTAGTATATCATGGCATGGGTTTTAAAACTGAGTTTTAGGGAGGATGGGGGGAAAGAATGATCATAAGGAACAAGTAGATATCTGCCACCAGCAGATTCACTGGTAAAGAAGTATAAGTGAGAAAAGAGCTATGACTTGAAAGGGCTGCAGTGTCATCAAGGTAGAGCCAAATTTCATTTAGGCAGAAGGCGAAGGAAACATTAAGAAAAAACATTTAGTAGCTTTCTTAATGTTGAGAGACCATGAGTTCCAGAGGACGTTGACATTCAAAGTAAGAATTTAGGAGTCATGGATGGGAAGATCCCCTGGAGAAGGAAATGGCAACCCACTCCAGTATTCTTGTGGAAAATTTCATGACAGAGGAGCCTAGTGGGCTACAGTCAATGGGGTCGCAAAGTGTTGGACATGACTGAGCGAATGAGCACACACAAGTCTAAAGATGCTATTTAAATCTGTGGAAACAGATGAGATCATTAAGAGAGAAAGAATAAAGAGAGAAATGGGTGCAGGATTGTCTCCTGAAGTTTCCCAACCTGCCCAAATTGGGTAGAACAGTGATTCTCAACCTTTTTTTTTCAATATTACCCTCCCCCCCAAGGAGCCTTTGTAGACATCTTTGTCCTAATCACTCCAGGAAATTTTAATACCACAGACATACTGTGTGGCTCTTTGAAGGCCACAAGCCCTTATAGTATCTAAGATATTTTTGCCCCTACCCTCCCAGAGTCAGTTTTTGCCCTCTTAGGGGGGCAACGTTGCCCCTGCTGAATTACATCGGTTAGAGGACAGAATGGTAAGGGAAGGAGTAGCCACTAAGAAAGGAGAAAAGCCAGAAGAGGGTGATTCAGTGAAGCCAAGAAGAGAAGAGCGCTAGGAGAGAGAATAAGAGAGTGTTG